GCTTCAGAGTGAATTAAATTTGTCTTCAGAATGCAGCAGGAGTCTCCTCTTGCCATATTAATGTGAAAAGTGTGTTGGTGCTTTGTCATTGTAATTCAGCCGCAAGGAATATCTGCCTAGAAAATAGTGTTCGCTCCATGATTATCTATTTTCTGTTAGCACTTTTATAATAGTACAGCTATGACCACAATGAGGATGGAGTCATCCTCTGCAAGTTTAATCACTGGGTGGCTCAGCGTGCAGAAAGGAACGCAACCAGGACAGGAATTCTTCCCCAGATCCCAACTATTCACCAAGCATCCCTGATGGACAAAGGGCTGCAAGGCAGCGTGTGCAGGACAGACCCAGGCGACAGGCAGCAGTGAGCAGGTGATGCTCAGTAATGGCATCCAACGTTATGTTAAGAACTAACTTGATGCTCTGACTTCATGCTGTGTTCCCAGGTCCCAGTGAGGTGCCCTGACAGCAATTCTCTCAGCTTTACTGATACCAGAAAGGTTGCCAGGAAGGTTTTCATGGTCCAAATGTCAGAGAAATGGCACAGAATATGATCACATGCACTACAGACAGACTGCAACAGCTGCCCGTATGAGGAGCCAACTGATATCCCTTGGTTTGAAAGCAAGACAGCCAGGGCCAACTGCTGCAGCACCACAATCTCGAGCCCCACACAAAGAATGCGGAAAGCTCCCCAGTGCACACCAGTGTTTTGGGGCTTATGGAGACAATGCTCAGCCAGCTCTGTGGTTCAGCTCCCAACTTCTGCATGCAGCACAAAAGGAGGTAACTTCTCGACCGAACGCAGACTCAGAACCGGTCATCAGACAAAACCTATCCAGCCTAGGAATTCTCAGCTATTAGAAAGCCACGTGATCCCTCTTCTCTCCCATTTTACAGGCCACATTAACCAGAACCATTTCATGCCATGCACAATCTTGTTCACTCAGGATGCCTGCAAAATGACTGCAAAACAATCTCCTTCTTCCTTCCGATTCACCAGCAAAGCACAACTCACACTGGGCAAAATCCAGCAGCACCACCAGCTCAACTGCTGGTGGCACCTCCAGGTGCTGAGTGCCCAACTCCACCACCTGACCCCCCATCACAGCCCAAAGCATCAGCAAAACAAACCAGTAAAACCAGTACGAAGAAGGAAACCACAGCCCATGCTCCACTACCTCCATGTGCTACAGAGCTTGGTGTGTGTCGGGATGGTAATCCCAGAATCATCCCCTATGTGGGATGCAAGCCTGAGATGCTCTCTCTGCACGTTATTTCTCTCAGAGCAGTAGATGTGACAGCATCCTGCTGTCAGCAGACAAACAGGAAGAGCTACCTGGTGCACAGCAACTTCCTGCCCACCTGGCAGCTTCTGAGCTGAGAGATGCTACAGGAACGAGTGGTATATAAATAAAAACATAAGGCATGCCTGGGTCCGTCATCATGCCCCAATATGTCTGTTAGCATCATAACTACAGGAAAACATAGATTGCATTCTGACTTTTTTTCACATTTCTTTCCCAAGAGATGATAAGAAGTAATCTCCCTGTTGTTACAAATGTTTTATGTTGAAAATAAAGCTTTTATGCATATTTGAGTTGATCTAAATACAGTAGATCTCGGGTTTTAAAATCACCAGATAATACACAATTATCTCAAGCTAGATTCTGATTTTGAAACGAGCTCTAATTAGCTCCCCATTTTATGCTGCTATAATCCTTTCTTCAACTCCCATGAGCGTTACCATTGCTAAGCAGCATGAGGTTAGGAATGATGGATGATACCCAGAAAGGAAGACAAACAAAAGGGAAATTCAAAATCCCCTGAGATCACCCGCAGCTGTATCGGCAAATGAAGATTTCCACATTAGGTCATAAGACGACCCTTACAGAAACACATACCAAAAAGGCACGTCTTCATCCCGCTGAGTATTTGCTAGTCTTTAATGTAGTATATAGAGAGTGTATGTCCTTCACAGAGGATATGCACTAAAGAGAATGAGAATTCAGCCTGCCTGGGAGTAGTTTGGAGATGAACAGCAATAGAAACATTTTCTTAATGTCTTATAGATGCTCACTAAAGATATAAGATCCCGAAATAAAACGAACCAATACGGGCTATATACAGTGCAAGTATTTAGAAAAACATCCAAGCACATAAACCTTCTCCTGACACATGGCTACCTTCCAAACCCAACCCAGCCCCATCATCAGTAATGCAACTAAATAAGGGCCAAATTCATCCTGAAAAAATGCTGATGCACTTGGGTGACACTAATTCAACTTTTTTTTTTTTTTCCATGTGATTTGGTCCATGCTTTTGACACATAAATCATTAAAAAGGCAGATTTACCCAAGGGCATTAGAGCATTTAGGTGGAAAGAAATACACAGAAGAGACGTTAGGAAAGGCACAGTGATACTATTTTTGGCCACCTGGGCTACGGACACCACTTTTGTGGTACCACACGTGCACCAGAACTTGCACGGAGCTCCTCTCATCGCCAAAGCCTTCGCTCAGGTCGCAGCACTGAACACGGACGGATGTATCTGGCTGGAATTTTGGTACAGACTGATTTCAAGGAATTCACCAATGCAGCTTGCAGAAAAGAAAAATGAGCCTGCTTTATCTCTAATTATATCTATATAATGCTTCTCCACTCATCCTTGCACACAAAAGACTGATGGGTCCATCTGTCCACGTGTAACAATGGAAAAGTACCGGACAAAAGAACAGATTTTCATGAATGAGGTGTTAATCAAAACCTTATGATCTGGAAGCGTAACTAACTGGGTCAGAAATCCAGAAAATCCTGCTGGTTTGATATAATGGTGCCAAACAGTAATGAAAATACTCACAGCTAATAAAAGTTGGAGACGTTACTATGCGTGTTGACACTCCGCACACTGAAGACCTTCTTGGCACAGCACTCAGGAGCCACCGAATGTATTAGTTTAATTTCACTTCTTTCCCTTCATGCATTCAACAAGTTCTGAGCCAATTATAACACACGGAAAAGGCTCCAGACCTTTTCTCATTTTAAAATTGTTCTGATTAATTTCTATTTTAAAATTACAAGTATGCAACCCTTTCTGCCTTGATTTTCCTGGGAAATGTCTCTGAAGACCTGAAAATTGTAGCTGGCTTTTTTTTTTTTTTTTTTTTTTCTCCCTTCTGCCCTGGAGTGGAGGATCTTTCACAAATGCATAATTATTTTTACCTTTTCCAAACTATTTGCTGTGCGTTTAATTACAGAAGAGCTGCTAATAAAAGAAAATAACCAATTACTCATTCAGATATCTCGGTTTTGCTCTTTTGTTCTGCACGGTGTCACAACCTCCTCATCCCTCCATACACAGAGAGGTGCTGAGAAAAGAAGGTCTTGTAAAACAATTTTGTTTTTAATCATCGGGAAGGAGAGAGAAAAGGGCACGAACCCATTTTCTCATTTGTAAGTTTGCTTTGAGGAAAGAAGGACAGCGATCATCAATAATATGATTTTATTAGCTGATAGGAACACGGCGCGTCACAAAATATGAGCTCAAGGGCAGGAGCTGACAAACGAGATGGGGAGTGTGGGAGTGGAGCAAAATATCACGGCAGCAAAACTGAACTTCCTGAAGGAAATCACTTCCAGCTACCAGTGATCCTCCTGGGGATCCCCAAGGTGGTCAGATTTTAATGCTCTGGGCTTGTCTTTCAATCTTTTCTAATTACAGTTAGTCATAAATATGATGATTAGCAATAACAATGCAGCCTTTTCCCAGCTCCTCTGATTTCAAATTCCTCTTAAAATGGCTATAATTAATTACTCATATTTTCCATGCTGTCTTAGGCATTTATAACGGTTACTCTTGCGCAGTATTGATGCTACAAAAAGAAGTCCATGGCACACTCTTAATGAACAGCAGCATATAAAATGTCATAGGAAATTTTCACGTTTGCTAAATGCTTGCCTGTGAGTAACAATAGCTCCATGACTGCAAATAATTTTTCCCATTTTGGTTTTGTTTTCATGCCTTGTTTTTTTTCCAGGGGCATATTTTTGCTTTTATCTATTTGTTTTTCAACTGTTCTTTTTAAGAAAGAACACGGATTGAATATCATCATAGATTTTCTTCTAGTAAAACCTTTTAGAATGCAAAATATTTTCCCAGTAGTGAGAAAAAACAGTTCAGTTGAGATATTCAGAATAAACCCAACAAGCTCCAGAAAAGGAGTGCTTCAGAATGGCAGGAAGGTGGAAAAACAACCTAACCCACACTGCTCTGTGTCCTGAAACACTGCAGCTCTCACACACAGGGCATGGAGCATGGCACAAGCATTTTTTTGGAGCACAAAACAGCCCGAGTGGTTTCCACGAGTGAAGCAGATCATTGCTAAGAAGTCTGTGTGGGTAGAGTTTGGTATCTAACAGCAGGAACACAGCTGTTCTGCTCCTTCCTATGCTGTGGCCATCGTTGTAAAACCTTTAGCAATTCAATTCTCTTTGACACTCATCTTTGTTACATCTGCTTTTTTTGCAAACGGAAAGGGGAGGGTGAAACAAGGCTGGCTCAGAATACAAAAAGAAGCTCGGAGCAGAAACACGTAACGTGGGCTTTTCCCCACCTTCGAATTAACAAAGCAGATTTTGTGCAAATGAAAGTGGAAAAATATGCCAGCTGGGGTATGCAGATCGCATTACAAACGAAAGGCTTGTTTTACAGCCATTGTCACATGTCAGCCTAATAAGCTGAACTGTGGTAAAAAAATCCTACAGAGCTAAGGATCTCTAAGATCAGATGGAGTCTCTTCATCTAATATATGCAGCTAAATATGTGTATTCCCTATATCTGCCATAGCAACAAGGAGGGAAGGACGAATTAACTGGGTTAATAAAAAAAATTGAAGGGTCTCCTGTATGATACAACAAAACAAGAGAAACCTCTCGGCATCAAAGAAATGTAACAAAAGCACAGAGAATTATTTCAGAGCAAATCATTGAAACCAGCTGATTACCTGAGCTTGCACATCCCTGCTGTAGGGAATCCTGTAATGATGTCACAGAGTGAAGGACTAGATAAGAGAGGAGAGGAAAATCAGGGAACAATAAAAGGAGATGCCAAACCACAAAGTAAACAGTAAGCAGCTCAACAAATAGCAAACAGCTGAGCTCAGCAAGGGCACACTGCTCATAGAAGTCAGTGGCATTATAAGGGTACAACCGAGGCCAAGCTCTAGCCTGGCCTTTCTGCATCAGTGGGTATTAGGATAAGAGAGAGAGTCACAATAAAAGCATAATTGCAACAGAGCATTCCCCCTTCAGAGCTGAGTTCTAGCTCACCTCCTGAGACAGCAATCAATATTCTCCTAGGAACAGTAACAGTCCCCTGTGCAACACTAGAAAACAGCGCGCAACATTTTCCAGCTCTTTGGCCAAATTTTTTTGAATTACGTGTGGTATTCATGCCTACATAACATCGTCCTCATTAGGAACTCAATAACAGCTGCTTATCAATTAGGCAGAAACGAGGGCTCCTTGTGTAAGCGTTCCCAGTGAGACCCCTAGGAGCCGGCTGGGATGCGAGGCCACGTGCGGCCCTTCCCAGCACATGGCTGAAGTCCTGCTCACTGCAACCTTAAAAAGATCTCCTCCTCAACTCAAACAACAGAGTGGAATTTTAATTACCTTGTCCTTGTTGCTGCCCTTGTGCGGGCAGGACACACTGTCCCAGCTCACCATTCAACCAGAGCTGCATACGAATAAATGGTTCTCGGCCTTTTTGTGTCAATTTACTCCATGGCTTTGGCCTGGAGAGCATGTCACTGACACTTCCTTGGGACAGCCCCAATACCTGAAGTGAAGCAACCAAGAAGGGCACGTTAACACATTTGCTTTGAAGGGGGTAATGTAAGTCACTGCAGCTTCCTCTACTGCTACGCTGCTCAAGTCATTTTAACGTGGACAATTAACAAAACTTGGAAATGACATGGATGTGCACTGGGATGGAGATGCCTTTCCCTTGCCACTGCTTTGCTCTGGAGAGTGTTTTGTGTTGTTTTTTTTTTTTTTCCTGCAGGAGCAGCAGTACAAACAGCAAAAGGATGGTATGAGATTTGCATGCTTTCCATACTGTCACACACTTTCATCGGTTCTAACAGCAAAAACACAGCACAGCAGCACACAGAGGTAGATAAAACAGGACATGACTGTCATGCATTTTGTTCTCAAACGAAAATAATTGGGACTTCAGAGACCAGGCCTGTATTTGGTTCATTTCTTTGGTGTGAATTCTAACGATGTGTGTTTTCACCTGCAGCAGCAGCTGCTCCATGTAAGCAAGTACTCAAGGACACAGCCGTGCACGGCAAAGAGGGGCTCAGACAGGCAGAACACTCATTTGCCTGGAACTCAGCACGGGTGAGGGATTAAAATTCACCCTTAATGGAAAGTGTCACAGGATCCTTAATGACCCCGAATAATCAGGCCTTTCATTTAGCATTTAGTGAAATGTAACAGGGCAATGCCAGCTCCTTCGGCACTACTAGATCCATTCAGGAACACTGGATGCCCACCACTGCTCACAGCCTGGAAGTGCTTTCTGGTGGCCAGGGGCTGGCAGCTCCACGTGTTCAGTGCTCCTTATCTCAGTTTGCATCTGTAATCAGGTGTGCTTAAACACCTGAGGTGCCCAGCATCAGATACACAACACGGCTGGGAATTCTGACTTCAGACTAAAGAGATGGAAGGGATTTTCCATGTGTTTGTTTAAATACTCTTGTGCACATTTCCAAATAATAATAAAAAAAGGAAAAATGCTCTCATGTTCATAATCTTCAATCAAAACAAATTTAAGACTCTCCAGTCACGACAATGGCATTACTCAAATATTCCATGAATTCATTACATTAAGCATGAAATACTGAGTCTCAGTAATATCTGCTTCAGCTTTCCATGTTTCTAAACTCAGCGGCCCTATTTCTAATTGCAAGGAACTGAAACCAATCTTTGTACAAAATCTGTGCAATTCACAGAAGGCAGGAGAACTAACACTTTCCTTTAACATCCTAAACAAACATTTTTTCATGAAACACATGTGCACCCATTCTGTGGCACGGCTGTGATAAACTGAGCTGTGCACTGAGCATAAAGCACATCAAAACACCGGGGTAAGAAGAGAACCAATTCTTTACCTTTTCCCCAAAGATCCTTTGGCAGATGCCATTCTTTGCTAGCTTTTCTTTGACCTGCCGCGTTAGTTCTATCGTATCCACTTCCTGGTACATATAAATCTCATACTGCTCAGGTGTCAGAGGAGGAACTGAAGGTTTGGATGGCTTGGACAAGGACACGATAGGGGATGAAGGGAGGGGGCTATTTTGTGGTGTCTCACTGCGACTCGCCCCAGTCATGCTCAATTCAGAACTCTGCGAGTACGGAGATTCAGCGTTTGGCCACTCTTTCCAATACTCTGAAGAAGATGGTCCTTGGAGCTGGCTACGATCTGGCCTAGTCTGATTGCTGACCTTTTCTTTTCCACCACTGGCTTCCTCAACTTTTATATCTTCGGGAAGAGCTGTATTTCTTCTCTCATGCTGCACAGTATTCCACCAATGGTCTTTCCAAACACCACCACGTCCCAACTCATTTTTAACATGCCTCAACATACCCTGGGCAGAATCACTTATTCCATGAAGCTCTAAAACAGGCGCCTCCTGCGGCTCCTTTTTGAGCCCAGAGAGGTTCTGCAATGCAGAGATACTGGAATCAGTAACAGATGAATGTTTCTTCAGGGATATGGCCAAAGGAGGATAGCTGGAAACTGAAGACATTGCAGATGTAGATACTAGTTTGGGGGACAGGATAGAAATGTCAGCTTGAGACAAAGGTGTTGTTTTTAAGGCAGGATCAAGGGCAGCCTGCTGTGCCTCCATTTCACGTCGGGCTTGTTGCAGAATGGATCGAATAGCATCATCAGAATTGCCACTGCTAGATGCAGAAGGCGGCTGAGCCGGCTCAGCTATGAAAAACAACCAAAAGACTAAATGCAACAGAGGAACATGCTTTATATTCAACATGCGCTACTGTAAATATTTTCCTGTATGAAAAAGGGCTGCAATAAATTTCGGGATGGGAGGGAGGGAAGGAGGGAGTTTTCACTAAGCAAAGATTCTGACTTTCCAAAGTAAGGTAAGATTTCCAAAGTTCTGCACTGGAAAATTTTTATCATTGCCAAAGGGCTGGACGTTTGTACACACTGACCCAACTGCAGAAGTCTGTTACCATTTGCATGCTTTCCACCATTGTAAAAATTATCAAATAAAATGAAAATCAAGCCTTCGACTCTTCTTCTCCCACCCCCAATTGGTCAATAACATTTTGTGATTCTATGCACAGATTTATTTAACCTCCCATTTCTATCTCCACAAATGAATCGTAACGCACTCAAAGCTGAGCACAGCTGCGTTCACCTGGGTGGCCTATTAATAACCTCTTACAGTATAAATAAGGTGAATCTTTCTAACTCCAAAAATAAAACACACAAATTACCACAAAGCAAGAAGTTCAGTAAAAGGCTTCATTATTTAATTTGACGAGCCCAAATTGCTTCTGCTTCCTGTTTTCTCATTCCCTGCTTCCAATCACTGGAACAAACAGCTCTACAAAAACCAGACTGATGCCTCAACTCCACTCTGTGCCCCATTCAAACCTCCAGAATGGAGACATGGGTGCTTTTGGAAGAGATAGCACCTAAAGGAGGTATTGAGTGGTGAACTGGGGTTCTGCAGCAGTCAGGGGATGAGCAGAGCCTGGAACATGGGCGTACAGTTCTCTCTGCAGAATATGAAAGCTTTGCAATGGCATCTGTTTCCATTGTTTAAGTTTTCCACTGAGGATGCCAGTGTTTGAAAACCAGTTCCTCTGAAAGCTGCTCTATGAAGAATAGGAAAAGTGAAGCACTTGGGAATCCCATACACTGCAAACAGAGACCGCAAAGTGAAGGGAGGTTGTCCTAGCAATATGCCTCACCTGAACATTTCCAGATCTGCCTCCCTACCTTCCTTCCTGTAAGGTACATGAAAAACTAAGAAGTGGGAGAAGACAGGGAGGCCATCTTTTCTGAGTTACCTACTGGTTTCATAGGGAGTTTGGAGGCTGAGTTAACATTAGAAAGGAAGTCCAACACACTCAGATAAAAGATGATACTGAACAATGTGCTTCCAGCTTCCTGCACACAGCCCATGTTTTTCTCTACGTCATCATTAGTGGCATAAACTCATTTAAATCATGTATTAACTAGTATTTTACATTTTGCCATGAGATTAGCTTAGTTTTCATTTGAAAGATGACTATCCAAAATTGCAAATCAGCATTAATTTTTTAAGAAAATGAAACAGAAGTATTGCAAAGTAGTGTCTACTTCAGCACCAGCCCTCTAGAGGTACTGGAAATTCTTTTAAAGTCGAGAGAGCTGTGGAGTGGACAGAAATATTAACTACATGGCAGCATATAATGAGAATTAAAACTTATCTCAGGCTGAGATGTTAGACATTAAATTTTTGGAAAACAAAATTCTTTTTGGGCTTGTTAGCTCGATCACTGAAAAAGGCCTATATCCTTACATTCTGTAACCAAAAATAAAGTTGTGCTGGAGTTTGCCTGTGTTATAATTTGAGTACACAATGTCCACAGCAAGCTGGCAGTGAGGTTCTGGTAACTGCTGGCTCCCCTTTTAGCTTCACTCAGGCAGATCCCCTCAGCTCCCTCACTCCATGTGTCCCTGGGGCTGAAAGGGAGAGCGCTGAGCGAAGGCCCCGCCAAGCAGTGATGTGTAATAACTTATCTTGGGCTGCATTACAGACAGAAACCACTCCACTAAATAAAGAAATTTTAAAAGGCACTTTAAACCTACATTCAAGGTTTTAAGAATATAATTAACTGACCAGAAAGCTCATGGTAATTGTTTTAATTAAATTCTGAAATAAAAGGAGCAAGAGACAAAATGAGGCTGTACCTGTTTTCTGTACTTGCAGCTCCCTTTTGGCTTGTTCAAGAATGGATTTGATGGCTTCATCAGAGCCAGTCTCTGTGGTTCGGATTCGTGTGGTTATATTACCTGAGGAGGAAAACAAAACTAATGACACTGGGAAAACTTTTATTTGTTTGTTTTTTTTAACACAAATGCAGGCAGTATATACTAATGTGCTGCCAGCATGACCCGACAGCAGCTCACATCAAACCCTTACCAACATCTACAACATCAAGAATGCCCTTAACACAACAGAGGAAAAACATCCTCACTGCATGAAAGCTGTTCACCTGCTGCACTGAATGATGAGAGCAGTAACATCACCAGAGGAAGAGCTATGTGGTCATAATGCATTTTCAAATATAACACGCACAAGTCTGTATTTTTAACTTCCCTTCCCTTTCTTTTTTTTTTTTTTTTTTTTTCTTTTCTTTTTGGAGGGGGAATGGAAATAGAAGGGAAAAGAACTGAAGGGGGAAGGAATAAAGACAAAAACAGAAGCTCAGAAACCATCCTTGAAAACTGCATCAGCTACCAGGCGAAGTAGGATGAGTGCATGTTCAGATCAGAACAGGATTTCAAAAACCTGGATACAGGAAATCAAAACTAATTTGTGCCTTTCTAGAGGCTGGTACATTAACAGAAGCAGTCATTTAAGCACCAATGCCATCTGAAGTACTTTCCAGCTAAGAGTTATTTCTTGTGTTTTGTTCACTCTTTTTTTTTCCCTTTGTTTTTCTTTTAACCACTATGGGGAGAGAAAGAAGGGAAAATTCCTAAGACTGAAAAACTACTGCATTGTTCATTAACAGATTATCAGTTGTAAGCGACCTACATAATTTCTGACTGAAATCAAAATAACTGAGGGGTTTTGAGGTTTTTATTTTTGTCTGGCTAAAAGTAAAATTCTGCAGCTGATCTATTACAAAGCAAAATGTTCATATTTTAATGGTATTTTACTGGTCTGATGTTCCCCTGTCTTTTTGTTCAGTCCGTTTCATACACTGTACCAAAGAAAGCACCACACTAATTTAACAGCTGATTCAAGTGTATTTGTCAACATAAGCCCGGTGAGGAGAAAGAAGGAAAACTGAGAGCAGAAGCAGAATGCAACTGATCTTGGATTACACACAATTGTGCAACTTTCCTGCTCTAGAATAATAAAAACATCAAAGAGAGCATTTCAGTAGATGCAATGATTTTTAGGGCCGCTTCTACCACTTATCTCTCTATCTGTGTATCTAGCAAGGAGGAGAGTAGAAAAGTATCCAAACAGGGTTAAGTTAGTACAGCAGCAGCAGAATTAGAAAAGCAAAGTGCTGGTCTAACCCATGGTTTGTTTTATACTTACTGTCTGTTTTTCTATCAGATTCCAGGCCAGAATCAAACTGCACAGTTTTAAGGAAACACACAGCTAAAGCACACTCCACTTCCTAGGTATTGACTGCAAAGAAAAACACCTGCCTGTGACGTACCTTCAGACCCATTTCTTCGTTTCGGTACTTCCTGAAATAGTCTGTTCAGGTTCTGGCCTGGATTCTCTGTTGAAAAACAAGTTTGGTAAGAACAAAACAATCAGGGGATGGTTGCTCTGACATCATGGGCTGTGTGACATGAGAAGATAGCAGCCTGTCTCTAGAGACGAGGGTTCAAGCGTTCCTCAAACCCTCGAGTCTCTGTCTGAGCACTGGAGGAGCTGGCTACTTTGGAAGAAGCAAGGCTGGCTGATTTGTTAATAAAGATTACAGCTACGTTCGGAAAGGAGATTAGACAGATATAAATAAATGTCTAGAGATACCAAAAATGAAGAGGTTAAAGATGGGCAGATAATCCCCTCAAGTACAATCATCAAAAGGAAGAGCAGATTATAAATCTAACAGCGTTCACTTTCAATTAAACAAAATCTAGACAAATCCTGCCTGTCCTTTCCAATAGTTCTAGCCTGTAAACAACTTACTTTTCAGTTTCTCTAAATGTAAATCTCAGTCTCTGCTTAAGATGAATCACAGTGAAATGCATATGTTATTTCTTAAAACCACCACCCTACATATGCAAAGCTGCTTTAAGTTGGCTTCCTTTTTTAATTAGCCACTTCATGCATCACCTACGATATTTTGTCAGAACACTGGGAAAAAATCACAAGACACAACAAAAACACGGTCTCAATAAACAAGAGAACAAACAACTGCCATGTATTTTTGATAGCAGCAGCTAGAGAGCCCTCCTCACTCCCCATTTCAGTCAGTGCTCCCTGCTCTCTGTCCTGGCTAGCCAGTGGCTAACACATCAGCCAAGGTACTAACCTGTACAGTGCTGAAAAGCAGTGCTACAAAGCTGTGCTTTCTGCACCTTACTGATCGAGGTAAAACAGCAGCAATGCACAAACAGCCTCGAACACAGAAACCTTCAGCTTTTTGCACTTGCAACAAAGAGGAAAACTGGGCAAGTCCCTCGGCTGGTGAGCGCTTACCTCTTTGTCTACCCTGGATGCTGCGAAGAGCCAGGATGTTCTGCTCGTCCGACAGGAACTGCTTCATCTTATGAAATGGCTCCTTGCCTCTCACAGTCAGTTTATTCCATGGCTTTGGCCGGGCTAGTATCTCACTCACAGACCCTTGCGACAGTCCCAACACATAATGTCCAAATATCCGCTGTCCAATATTGTGCTTGATCAACTGCTCTTTCACCTGACGTGCAATTTCGGCTGTGTCTATCTCCTCGCCTTCGGAGATGCTCCCAGCACTTTCTGACTGGCTGGGAGATGGGGCCATGCCATTTACATCCGGACTTTGTTGTAATGGACTTTGGGAAGAGATGGAGTTTGTGCTGTAAGGACCTGTTGAAAAAATCATGCTTGTGCTTCCTGCTTCCTGCATTGCCTTGGAGTAGAAGGACTGCATTAGCTGTCGCTGGAGGAGAGAGTTTAGTGCAAATTTTCCTGTGGAGGCCAGGGGTAAGCTGGGGCTTGCCAGGGATGAGCTGAAAAAGTCTTGACTTAAACCCGTTGGTGAGAACTGGTGTGTACCATTAGTATTGGAAGCCTGCTCCCCCGCGTTGCGGAGCAACTGAGAAGGAGGGGAAGCCGGCAAGGTTGCAGGACGCTGACTCTCAGGCTGGTCTTTCCCTTTTCTCCTGGCTGACCCTACAAGGAAGGTCAAACATAATGCATTATGGGGGATTAAAGAGGGAAAAACCAAGATAAAAAATGCAAAGTTTGCCCCGCAAAGGGAAAAAGTGCAGATTGACAGGGGCCAACGAAGTGGTGGTGGGATTTTTGTTTTCGTTTCGTTTTTGGTTTGTTTTCTTTTTTTTCTTCTTCTTCTTTTTCTTTTTTTTCCATAATTCAAATTTCAATAAGCCAAACAAGGCCCCCAAAACAAACAACATGCATTTCATGTTTGCACCTTTCTTGTATGTTGCAGCCTGGAGAATCCCCCTTACAGACATTAAAACTAGAACAATTACATGAAGTGCAGTTACACATTTAAAATCAATGCAGTTACAGACAGCAAGTCCCTTTGATGTCTCTCATTCAAGACATTACTCGTTGGACCTGACTGAGCCCAAATGCAGCAAACATTTACATTTTGGAACAAACCAATTTGAATAAAGGAATCACCAATAGGTGGATGCACCAAGATCATTCAGTTAAGTCATAAAACTCTTCAGAATTCAGTAATCCCAGTGCCAGTGGCAACTTTTAACTTTCTTCCAGCTGCAAAAACCATAAGCATTCAAGTATCTGGAAATTCCATGACTTGCCATTTAAAAAATGTGCACACAAAATGTAAAAAGCCCACATTAGGAAAGCTAAACAGCAAACACACTTCACTAAAAAGACAGTATTTTGTTTTTCCAAGCTGACCTGCTGGTAATATATCTAAATGTATCAGACAGGAAGATTATTGTGTTCTGCATGCAAACATTTTGCATAACATTGTGCGTGGGGGGAGAGACTTCTGGTGCCACAGATGAATTTGTTCCCAAAACAGCAGACAGCCTCAAACACTACCACTCGGTACATCTCGTAACGCCTCTTTCCTAACCTTTAAAGAGTCTCCAAGGTCTCCGAGCTTTATTTTACTATCCAGCCTATAAAACTGCAGAAATCAAACACTTCTCAGCATTCTTGTTGCCTGTCCATCTTCCTGCCGTGCATTAGCTCACACTCTCACCTCTTATTCAACCCTCCCTCCCTTTATGAGACACAAACATAGGAGAAGAGCTGAAAACGGTGTCAACCTACCACTCAGGTCACTGTTTGTGATTCGCAGCGTGGCGTTCTCGGACTGCAGCGAGCGGTTCTTCTCCAGCAGCAGCACCTCCAGCGGTTTCGATGCATCCTAAGGAAAATCAAAGTGGGAGGTTTGTTTCCAACAGCATTAAAAGTCTCGCTCAGGCACTAAAAAGGATTTCAGAAGAGGAAAACAAGTGCTCATCTCTGCTACGAGCGCAGCTGGGGAATTCAACATGCATATATTTGCAGGAATCACTCAGTGCTCCTGCATGAGCTGTAGTAGAGATGCACTGTTTAATTTCCAGTGGAAATCATTCATCAATTCTGCGTTATTTGGAAATGTGTAATGGAACATTTACTTAATCTTGCTTCTTTTGAGATGAGACTGGCGTGCTTTCAATTTAAGAGCTGTAGACTACTTTTAATCTGATTATAATAGGAGTTCAGATTATTTTATTTCTTCTAGGTCAAGCGACCCAAGCTAAGCATTTCCTTGAAATGCTGCTTTTCAGCTGAACACTTTGTTCAAAAAGAAATTCAGTCACAGAAAGCTGCCATTTACTTTCCTGTAAACAGCCAACCCTCGGTCATCAGAAAGCACATTGAAAATTAACCCCCATAGATTGATATTCCATCCAGATTTCAGGAGCAAGAGCTTAATTCAAAACATACAAACTTTGTTTGTGCACTCACTGGGAGAGCTGAGGTTTTTTATCCTGCTTTCCCAACACTCAGAGGTCTGTTTTATTTGAGAGCATTATTTTCAAGGTTAGCATTTACAAATGCTCCAGTCCTTGCCCACTGCACTACCAGAATGAGATGCATGCAAACCTCGGCTTAGCTGCGCATCAGCTCTAGGATCTTAGAAGACCCAACTGCACACCACTGTGGTTACCCAGTGCAGCACCAGCTGAAACGCCATTCTTTCTCCTTGGTTGCTTAAAGGAAACTAACAGGCAAAAAATGGTCAGTTCAGCTTTTTACACGGAGATCATCAGGAAAGCAGTGATCACCCCACGAGTCTCAGCACCAACATGAAGCTGCCCGTGCTAACGTGAGCAAGTTATAAGAGAAATTCGGGTTAATTAACTGAACTGCTGAAGTAATTAAGAAAAGAAAAGTAGATTCAGTACCTGCGCACCAGAGCTTTCAGGTGGTGCAAACTCCATGGATTTCAATATACTGTGGAAGGCAGAAAAGAAATTATTTTCTGTTTCTTCTCCTCATAACAACTGCACTAATGAGCATTAACATTATCATTTCCTAATCTCCAGCAACACTACAAGCGCTAACAACTTTCCTTGCAGTAATTCCATCTGATAATGAATACAGAATAACTATTCAAACTAGTTATTGGATAAGAAAATTTTCTCAAGCGTCTTCTAAATCATTCCATATGCAATCCCACAAGGCCAGTTTAAAGCGTAAATTTAAAGGTTAATAAGGATATAACATTTTAAGCTGTCAGAAACAATATTAATTTATCTGTGAAGCTTGAAGGGAATGGAAAAGTTGCAGCAAAGCAACAAAACAGGGGAATCACCACCATGGTTACAGTGCTTTATATAATATACACCAGCTCACATATCAAGGAAAATATGCACAAATAATCTTCCCAACCAAGTCACTACAGGCTAAAAGGCAGTTTTTCATTTTAATCACCTCCTCGTTCTATGGCAAAGGGAAGACACAATGGCACAATATTTCTTAAGAAATATGAAAGATCCACATATTTATAAGTACATTAAGAGAAGAATCTGATAGCCTCGCTGTCGATGCTTTACATAAATACTGAGCAGTCAGAGGATGGCTCCCTTCTGTTGGTGCTGCCTGCTCAATGAGAGCCATACAGGAATACAAACTTATTACTGTGCTTTGTCTTACACATTGCTTGAAATAGGCCATGTGCAGGCAGGCTGTTATGCTCCTCAGTCCGAAGCAATACATGATTTGAGCTTACAAGACATAAGGATAGCATTTCTGCAGTGTTTTTCACATCTAAAGCACCAGAAACTTTGTGAGGCAGGGAGCAAACGTTTTATCATGTAACAAATATGGAAACTGAGTCAAAACTAAGCAGAAGGCTGGTGTGAATGTGTGTGAACCACTTTTATCACACAGCATCACTGGCAGAAATCAGCGTAGGGCTGCGGTTATCCTGCGATACACTGCACAGAAAGCAGTGCTGCCAACACTCTGCTTTCGTGGGCACCTCACCTATTTGCACAAGTGCTTCTTTTCTGCCATTGATGGAGCTTTGTCAGATGAGAGACCATGCTCCAACAGCTCAAGTTAAAGCTGCTGGCATTACATGGACTTTGCAGATGTTTACTTGGGCTGCTAATCACTGTTGAAAGCAAGTGTTTCCTAGGACAACACCTCTGCAGAGGAAATGCTCTGGCTGGTCAGAGCTGGGGAAGACAAATACACTGAGGAGACCCATCCAGAAAATCCCCCAGGCTCAGGTAAGCAATTATGTGCATCCTCAATGGACTCTGCAGAGCGTGGCCTTGAGAGGTCAGCAAATGGCAGTGTGTCCCAACAGTCACATATGAAGATCCATCTGAACTGAAAAATATGACAACCTGTAACAGCAATCCATCGTGTGGCAAGCTTTCCACGGCCACAATTGTTGTTTCTGTCACTTCAGTGCAAATTAGCACCACACCTGCATCCCAATGCCACCACTTACCACCATGGGGAGCAGCCCCGGAGCACACCATCCATGTTCCCTTCTGGGCGTGCTGAGCCAGAAGCAGTGTGCTCCCACAGGTGTGCACCAGACTGGTAGCAGTCTGGAGTGCAAAGTAAGTCTGAATGTATTCAGTGTTTGCAATGGGTTCTCAGCACTAACACCAGGGCTGTACAGCCCTGTCCTGCCATGCTGACCACCTCCACAGGCTGCCCTACTGGTCCTTCTCGGCTCCCAGCACCCTCTGCCAGCTGGGACCAGCAATGCTCCTGAACCCTGCAGCAGCTGCGTTTTGCCTTGAGCTTGGAACAGGCATGAGCAACCTTAGTTGGAAACTCAGTGACCTCTGCCTGTTTGAAGTGGCTTCTCTGCTACCTGAAATAGCTTACTAGCAATTTCACAGGTAATTTCCTTCTCTGAGAAGCCAAAATGAATTAAAAATCAGGTCGATGGTATCTTGAATTGCCCTTGGAGGGATACTCAGTACAACAGGTTCATTTTTTCAAATCATGTACACCTTAAACATGTTAAAAATGACTCTCCAAATGTGTCATGAAAGAGACATTTTCTCAGGAATATGAGGAAGCAAAATGTTTCCCCTTCGGATTCCGGGAATATCTTTGCCCATGAGATCTCAACTCAGTCTGCTGCTTATCAAGATCAGTTATCTGCTTTTTAAAAGAATGATCTTGTGACTTCAATCTGCACATCTAAGACTACTTGAAAGACTTACTCTAAAGCAAAATGTGTATTGGGACAGTTCGACTTTCTGTTTTTATGATCTTGGCTGCAAAGGCAGGAAGGTTAGCACTGTCGTATTACTCAAGAGGGAACTGAAAGGACACACAGAGCTCTCAGATCTCAAAAATAGTTTTAAAAGCCATTTGGCACAAAAGCCTGTGTAGAAAGCAAGAAATTCTTCCACTCCAGATCTTGATGTGGATCCCATTAAGTTTCCCCAACACTGGAAGCAGGCTGACGTTTGAGATCCCTTACTCTAGAATAGCTCTAACATCTCTGAGTGGATTAAGGAAAACAGAGATCAGTGCCCAAAGGATTGAGAAATATATTCTTACTGACAAGACCTTTTTTACTTGGTACACATGTGCATTATGAACAGCTAATTCTTGTCAGTGCTTCAGGGTACTGTAGCAATGTATGGGACACCAGACTTACAGCAATATGCTTTTTGTGGTTTCACTTCAGATCAGACTGTCAGGGATGCACTTTCAGGTTCTGGAACATCTTTTGGACCAGATGGGACCAGAGGGGCTGGCAGGCATAAGCTGCTGTGATGATGCAGTACTGTAAAACTGTAAATAGTGCTCTTGCCAAGGGCTGTAGCCCCCAACCCAGTCCAGCAAGTACATGAGCCCAGGCCACCTACTAACCAGCAGCTGTCTGTCCTAAGTCACGCTCCCCAGATAAAGGACATTACCTGCCACATAGTGATATAAAAGCTAGAACAAGAAGCATCTGAATTTTCACTGATCCAGGAAAACTTCTTTGGTTCCACTGAAAAAAAGAAGTCTAAAGAGTAGGGAATGATTTCTGCTCTTCATCCCAGATGCAGGGCTGCATTTGATAACACTAAAAGGTACTGAAGTGGTGAGATGGCAGACATGCCACCCATGCCTTCATCACAGCCCAGGAAAAGGGGGACTTAATTTGCTGGCACCCAACAAGGGCCACTTCCAAGAGATTCTCCAATCTATTTCACTGCAGGCTTATCTTGAAATGATGGGCACATGCAGAATGATGAAGTTTTTTTTAAGACCAGTTAACATTCACTCATAGTTACCAAAGAAATGGTCAACTCATTTTACTTTACTGAAACTACACACCTGCACCTGTACAGGCTGCTGCTGGTGCTGAACAAGAACTGCATGGTTCTAATAAAATAGCACCAGGTCTGGAAAGTCACTGGGTGTACAAAACCAAACCTGCTTTCCACATTCTCCAGGGATGTGTAAACAAAAGCACATGACTCCAGCTTCATCTGAAATACCTCATTAAACAAGGTAACATTTTTTCAATCTTCTTAAAATACACACAAAAATGCCAGAATGATGAAAGAAGAGATGGAGTTCCTTGCAGTTACTTAAACCTTGACACTAAACATACCTCTAGTCAAGAACCTTCTCTTCTGAACCTGACAGCTTATCTTGTTATAGTTTAAAATGAGGCTCTCCTAAGTCTCTTAAAAAAAAAAACACACCCTTGAAATAGGAAGAGGCTGTTTGTGGCTTTAGCTTAAAACCACAATATATTAGCAAAAATATACAGTGAAACAAGCACAGCACTAAAATGGTAAGTGCTGAACGCTGGCTGGCAGAAGCAGAGAAAAGGTATTATGGCCAAAGGCCATGTATTAAATTCTTGGTCCACACTACATTAAGCTGTTGGCTGGGGAATTTTGAAAGTGGTCCACCTAAAATACCAGAGATTTTCAAACTTTTTACCCTCGGTGGATAATAATTGTAGAGCCCTTTCTCCATGGACACCTGCATTATTTGCAACTGCAATACTCTGCTACAACAAAAAAGGCATACCCACAGATGCAGCAGACACACTGCTTCTGGATGCCATTTCAGCCAATATTCCTTATTTCCCCCACTTTGTGGTTTTGACTGAATTCTTTATTGTTCCTAGAACACAAACTTGTGGCTTTATTTAACAAGTATTGTTAAAATAGTTTGTGAAAAAATTATGTGAGCATTTAACACTTACTTTAATTCTTTCTTAACCTCTTCATAATCAGCCTGTCCTTTCAGTTTTTCTTCCAGTTGCTTTAAAAAAAAGGAACATGAATTTAGTTTAGATTTTTTTCTGCAGGCTTTCAAAATCATCTTTAAATTATTCCATATATACAGCAGTGCACAAGTGAAGGTTAATGACTCATACCTAATTTACATATATTAGGAAACAAACTACAACCAATTCAACATAAACACAATTATACCTCACTGTTCCTTTATTTACAGGGTGCCAAGTGTTACAGAATTCAGTAGGTCCCAGTTTGGCTGTTTGCAGTGTGGCTGCCATACATTCGGTAAAGAGATCGGTGAAGGAGACATTAAAAATGGGGCAGGTGAGATTTTTACAAGAAATAATGAACAGAGTAAACAAGCAGGATGCTTTGACACGTACTGTATTCTTAATATGACAGCCCCTGGTAGCCTCATCCAGATGAAAAGAAGACTGAAGAAGCTGCTGTTGACTGGAATACCTTAGGCTCGTAAGACTTCTACAATGCCTCATGCCCAAACAAAACAGCTGTATCAAGTTATTTTACAAGCATTACGTATTGCAGTAACTAATACAATTACACACCAGACATGAAGCACTGAGACCACTTGGCTCTTGGCTCAGGTCTGCCTGACGTAGGGCAGTCTCAATGGCTTCTCTTTGATGTGAAGATGCCACAAACGCCGAAACAAACCTCCTAACACAATCCAGAATGCAACGCCACACATCTGGACCTTACCCCAAAGCCCTGCTCCCAACAACAGTGCTCATTACTAGAGGATAAACGCTTCAGGAGGCCTAAAACATAGCGATACATAATTGATGCCGGTTATGCTGCTTGTAGAAGCCATATTAATTTCCCACTAATGATTTCTTTGCTTAGTACAGGTGTCCCTGATCTAAGCAGAGAAAGAACAGAATTTACTGCCTTGCAATGTCCATGGTTAAGTTCAGGCTAGCTCTGCCTTGCTGAATTTCTGGTAGTAACGTTGGCACAGGATCCCAAAGAAATGGCACGATGCATCACCCTAATGAAACAGCATCTACTTTCGAGGGAAAGGAAAGAATGACACGACAAAGAACAGGGCTGTGAGGCTGCCTTTGGTGGAGACGTGAATTTGGAAAGATCCTGCGCAGCTCCCAGCCTGCTTGTGTGCATGCAGGGGATGCTGGGTGAGGGCTAATGGGAACCTGGAGCATTGTGAGCAAACTGCTTTAAGACGCAGCTCCACAAAGTCCTGCAGCAGAGCAGATCTGGGTACACCAACAGCAAGGCTGGGTCAGCCTCTGTGGGAAGTGGGAATCTCAGAGCCATTCTGCCCCTTAACTCTGTGCCTCATAAGGCAACATCTTATTTTGGAGTCTAGAGCAGAACAGCTCTAACAGCAGGGTTAACTGGCTCACCATGCTAGTCCTCAGTAGAAGAAACACTGGAGTGCATGTGAAACAACCAGTGTTGTCAGATAAGATGCTAGTTACTTAGGCAAGGATACATTAAGAAAAAAGCCTTCTGCACAAACATATAAAATACAGGAAAACGACTGATTTCCATTTTAACGCAACCAATATGAAATGTAATTCTGTACGGGGATCTGTCATATTCAGTAACTCTGTCAGGAAATTTTAGGCATGAAAACATATTTAAAAAAAAAGATGCTGATAGAATGAAGCTGGTTTGGACTCTCGGGGCATAAGACCACTTTTATGCTGTTATAGCAGTATGACAAGCAGCAATATTTTACTTTGAATTGTATAAAAAACACATACATCCATCATTCCCAAGTACCTAATACAGAGACTGTTGCCATGGAAAATCTGCACCTAAATGTATACTTTCACTAAACAATACAAACCAACACCCGGGAATGCAGTGCCCATATATAAGCAGACCATTTAGACACTTGGCATCTTCCCAGTCAATGACTGCTTTAAAATGTATTAGTATGGTAATTGTCTTGAAGAACCCTGTAAAATGCACAGAACATAGCATAACAAAGGCTCAAGCTGTGAGACAATCTGGAGGAACTAATATCTTGCACTAAATATCAACCTGGTTAATTCAGACAAAATATATTCTAACGTCTTCCAGCACAACAAAATGCATTGAGCCAGGGGACAAAAGGAATGGTGGCATTTCTGTACACTACATCTGCAAGCATTCCATTTTAAGGAATCATGTTGCATCTGTTGTATGAATGAACCCATTACAGCATGCACATACTGGGTCCCCTCTTATTTTAACGATCAAATAACCCTTATCATATTGTTATCTAAAGTGTCCTAGGTAACATTAAAAAAAAAAAAAAAGAAAAAAGACTGATGTCCTAGTTTAGTCAGAGTGATAAACAAAAGAGACCAATTAACCAAGGTTACTTGATGTATCTATCGTTGCTAACTGGCACTGCTGTGTTTTAACTGGGTGGCAGGGAAGCTCTAACTCCCAACAAGGAAGGGTTAACATAATTACAGCTAGAAGAGTCTTGTTACTAGAGGACATATTTTGATTATTAGATCAGATGAAGATAAAGAAGCAATAATTTTGGAAGTATTTCTGTATTGTTTCATTAAGTCATAGAGCATTAAAGAATTCCCCCAAGATATGGTCTGAGAACATTGCTTTAATTTGTGAAACTGTGATTCATTAGTTGTGGAGGCAACCATTACCATCTTAGCTGTTCTAGAAGCAATTCCTCTACAATCAAACATGAGATCAACAAATCACTACTGAGTTTTGCCTCTTTGTATGACAGATCTCAGACACAGGCTTTCCCAGCACTTTGGGAAAAAAAAAAAAAGGCAGTTCAAATAGTTCAAATATTTTTATAGCGTAACAAATAAGGTTAAAGGAGGTTGAAAGGACTGAAACTTCATCAATAGCATCACTGCATAACGAGTGGGATCCTAAAAACAGAGCATCAGCTGGGCAAGACTGGGCAAATGGAAGATTACCAAAATGCAAATCAAAGACTTGCTTTGTCATTTCTGTGATCTCATTCCCTTTGAAGTTAATGGCTAAACTGATACTGACCTGAACGGGAACTTGCTTTATTCCAAGAAAATCTGACAAGTGCAAGGATTCAAGATACTTTCTATCAGGTTTTATGAAAAAATTAAAAAGCTCCATAGCATGGGTTAGCCAGCAATATCTGTTCCCTCAGTTCCAGGTCAACTCCTTTCTCCTGCACTGAGTGGTGCCCACATACACAACAGATGGGCAGAGACCGATCCCAGCAGTGTGGGAACCCAGCAGACTTCCTTGGCTCTACTGAATTTTCACAACAATTCTCCAAAGCTATCTTAAAACACGTAGAATGTAGAAAGCACACTGACTGCATCACTCTTTCACCCCTAGCAGATATTTCACCCCACATAAATTACACTGCACCAGAGCAAAACGAGCAACCTCTATGAAATGTCAGAATTAGGACAATTTGTAAGAGTTTCAATTGAGCATTAAATCATTCTGATAGAGGAAAGCTACCCACGCCACAGTTAGAGCTAAGTGGGTACTATCAGCCTCCTGCTTTCAAAAAACTCTCCGACTATAAAACCTACAAAACTATGCAGTATTTAATAGATAAATTTATCTTGTTTACAATTTGAAGCTTGAAAACGGTAGAACAATGAAAGAGACAGGAGTTAAGAGGAAACTGATTCATAACAGATGTCAGGAAACACTTTTCATGCTTACTGATAGATCAACACTGTGTAAGACAGTGCAACAAAGAAAGTAAAGTTGTTGGAAAAAAAGGTAAAGGGGTCACTCACAAAACTGGTGCTCTTCTAGCTTCAGTGCAGTGCTACTGGTACCAAATGAGTACAGGACTGCACTGCTAATTATAAACGGGAATTACTGCTCAGCAAATAACAGATGAAAAAAGTTTCAAATTATTAAAAAGCCTTCCCTTTGTGTCTTAATTTCACTTGTTTTCATGCTCTAAATGGTACACTTCCTTTTTCAATAGGTGGAGAAATGGAGGCAGTAGCAGGTAAATTCAAAGAAAAACCAGAGCACAACAAACAGCCATGGCAGATCTACAATGCCAAGCACTGGAACAGGAGCTAAGTTTTCAAACGTAAAAAGGATTTTCTGTGCCTTTTCACTTCAGCCATTTCACTGCTTTCTGGTAATCCTAGAAAGCTTACATCAGTAAAACCCAACACTGGTTTGCCAACCACTACTCCTAGCACCAAACACAGCCTTACTTTAAGTGTGCTGTTCTTGGCGGTCAGCTGCTGCTCCAGCTGGGAGATCTGGCTGCTGGAGTTCTCCCGCAGCTTGGTGAGGCTGCCCTGTAGTCTCTGGACATCTTCTACGAGCTGGGCAATCTCCCTCTCCTTCGCAGCCAGTTCTACTTCCAGGCTGGACCGTGTCAGCACCTCGATGGCCTGCTCCTGATGTGAAAAAAAAAACCAACATGAGACCACATAAATAAAAGCAGGAATGAGCTTGAATTCAGGGCAGTTAGGTAAGGCCCAAGCATGGCATGGGACAGTGTGAGAGACAGAAACAACTCCTAAACCTGTACTCCTTGACTGCATGAATCTGGAAAATGGACCTTTTTAACCAGGACAGCTCCTTGGTAAAACGGGGATAACAGGTCAAATAAATCTCCCTATTTCCTAAGTGTACTGGAAAACTGCAGTTGTGAAAGTCAAAGGACTCCATTCAGATTTATTATTAATAGTCCAAGTGCTTTGACAACTATGAAAATCTGTGCTAGCAAAATACTAATCAGATAAAATATTCTGAAGTAATGGAGCAGAATTTCTTAATCAAGAATAGCAGAGACATGTGCCTTTGGCTCTTCATATGTATGCCACACATTTCAGGCAAAATTGTCAGAAATTGCCCCAAACTACTATTTCCAATGAACTTGCTTCTTGCATGACAATTATTCAGTGGTATGTTATTGCTGGCAAGTGAAGCCTCTTCTCCATAGGGATGCAGATCCACGTGACACCTGTAAGACAAGGCTTTCTGCCTATGCACTCCGCTTAAAAAAAAATTCCCTAAATTAGAATTTTTTTTACTCCAGTTTTCCATGGCTGCCAACTCTGTCCTCAAGCCTGAAATGTCCTTGCTAGACTGACAAGAAATAAGAAAGAGCAAAGAAGGAAAGAAGGTAGATCTTTTCAGAAAAGGTAGCACAGGCTGATTGCAACATCTCTTTTGTCTCCTTTTGTGTTAAGAAATCAATAGCTATAATGCACTGGAGAGCTCTGAACCTCTCTTCCACCAGGAACACAAGGAAACCCCTGGGCAGACCCAGGGAGCACGAGGCAGCCTGAAGTTGAACACACATTCCATTAAAAAGCCTAAAACGCATCTTAGAAAGGTTAATGGCTGCTCCTCACAAAACACCAGAGAAGTAGGAATGAATCCATTTACCAAGAGAGAAACAATGATCGTGAGCATTATATCGAAGATCCTACGGTGAAAGAGCTGAGAATTCAACCCACCAATGCTGTCACCCAAGCACTTTCCTTACAATTCAAGATGACATTGCGGCAGACTGAAATTCACTCCATAACCTCTCTTCTGGAACATACAGGCACAACAAAATACCTTTTCTGTATCTCCTAAACACTTAGCTTGATTCTCAGTGACTACATACCATTGTGTCTTGCAGAAAGCCGCATGTACGAACAGCAGTTAACAACGCTCTCCTATTACACTGAATTATACTTTTAACTTGAAAAAACCCTCTAATTTGCTTGCATGAAACATCACAAGTTGTATAATCATCTGCTGCTTGTGCCTATTGAGACTAGAATGTAGAGTCTGAAATAAGATAGATAATGATCATTTTCATCCTGCAGTAGTTGTCATATTAAATATAAATGAAGTGCAGAAGTACTATTAAATACAAGAAAGACCTAATGTTAAAATAATGATAAGACTAGGACATAAGATAGGAAGAGGCAGGTAATTCAGAGTTACAAGAGAGATTCAGGCTTTTTATTTTTTGTTCTGCAGTCTGCTTCTCTGTCTTTTGACTTCTTTAAGAAAACGTTGGGTCATGTTAATAGGCGACCAAAGAGGTCTGGAGGACTTATAATTTGTTACTCATTTTCTGTGAATGTATTTAAATGCAACTGGGTGTTTTTCTGATATCATGCACGGTTTCCAAAAAAAGGGTGATAAGGAGCAAGATTTGTTTGTTAAATTTGCTGCTTAGAATTAGACCCAATTTCACTTAATCGTGCCTTTGCATTCACCCAACTGGACCTGCTGATGCCCTTTGGGTGAAATTGGTTACAGCCCCTCAATTAAAGCCCCTTGAGGCATGCAGAGCATTAACAGCACTCCGTTACATCGTACTGCTGCTTTACTTTTCCACAGTTGATGCTTGTATGAATGTGAAATGATTTCTAGGAGTTGCTGCTGTCTGCCTGCACTGGCAGCACTGGATGACCAGAGCCATTTCTGTCCATCCAGAGGCCTTTAGCAGCTACCAACCCCCCTCAGAAGCCTAACAAAACTGCAATTCCAAAGGAACACAACTCCATTTCAGTTAAAATATTATTCTCAACAGATATTTTTATAGCTGTGAGCATAAATTGAAAGAGCTGTACGGCAGGAATGTCAGAAACCTGTAAGAGTCAGTAAATATTTTCTCTCACCACATCAGGTGCCTTCTGGATCTGTGTAGCGAGTTGGAGAGATTTGTTAGCTGACGAGAGCTGCTCCCTTAAGGTCTCTGCCTCTCTCTGAGCCACCTCTGCCCTCTGAAGGAAATGAAAAGGGGTGAAAAGAGAAAGTACATTCAGTTTAACAACTGACAATTATTACAAGAACATTCATCAATTCATGCCTGACTGAATATAATTGATTTTCCTAAACACTCAACCTAATAAATGTTAGAAAAAAACATAGAATGTGATGGATTTTTATTTTAAACAGTACAAGGAAGAAATAATTGAGCGATTATGACAGTAATTTAACGCTAGGAGCAAGGAATCCCCTGCTGATACTAATGCTGCGGCCCACTGAATTTCCCAGACTGAATAAATACAAGTGGAAATGGAGTCTTTTTATTCAATTTCTTTCTATTCTCATAGACCAAGCAGATTTTATTGCAAGGTTCCTCATGGGAACAATTCTCACGGGTAAATGCTGAATTAAAAGATATTCTGACCATTCTCTCTAACACACATACAATGTTGTGGGCTGTCTTTCCTCAGTAATTATTTCCCCAAACATGAATAGTTTGATTCTGTTCTTTCAGCAGGTCGATTTATTCAACAATATTTAACCCTACACTGACAATTTTGCACAGATCAGTTACAACTGCTGAGGATTTACGCAGTATCTGATAAGCCTGGGACTTGGCTACCAGACAAAATTGCCATATAAATATTGAATAATAATAGAAAGGAGAAAGGCAGAGCTATGAGCAAAGCCCCTCTGTACAAGAGTCGGGGGAGAGACAGATGGATCAGTAACATCAGGCAATAAATAGCAGCAAACTCTTTTCCATAAGTGCATATCAGTTCCTCTTAAGAAAAGTGGAACAACACCTGGTTGTTTTTACACTGTATGCTCCTTCTGGCAAGTTTCTTCTTTCTTTCTTTTCCAGACACAGTGCTTCTGTCCTTGAACAATCACTGCTTTTCACCTGGGCTGCTCCTTGCGAATCACACTGCACTCAGCTAGCTCCATTTCCAAGGCATAACCAAACTTTCCAAAACCACAAACTGCTACCAGTCAAAGCCAGAACTTTTCCTGACTAGCTTTTGTCCTTGACACGGATGGGTCCCCTTCTTTGTGGAATAACAAATCCACGTCTCCATTTTTTAGCTGCCATATTTCTGTGTGCTACACTCCTCTCTTTTTCAGCTCCTCCTTTTGAAAACCTAAATCACAGAATCATGGAATCATTAAGGATGGAAAAGACCTCTAAGATCATCAAGTTCAACTATCAACCCATCACCACCATGCCACTCGGCCACGTCCTTCATTTACAATATGTCATTTAAACATCATAAGATCCTATATGCCTGTGTGTGTGCATGGTCTTGGAGTCACTAGTCAAAGCAGACTCTGCTGCGTGTTTAATCAATCAGTAAACTAACTGCAATCAAATACTAACTACATCATCTGTGCTATTTGCTCACAACATTACATTAAATGATTTTGCATAGGTTCTACAGCTGTAATTAAAATGCAATTGTAAAAAGTACAGTAACAGGGCTATATTAATCAGAGCACGGTATGCAACCTATTGTGTGCATGAATAAAATGGCAGCAGCATTAACAAGAAAGATCCAAAAAGAGAAAGTTTCTGTTGTTTGTGCAGCTGGATGGTATTAGGATGAAAAACTGAGCTAACAATAAGGATTGAGATTAATTATTTTCTTGCATTTCATTAGATGTGGAGGTGAATATATTGACTGAATAACTGCTAAGCAGCTACAGCAAAGGAAGACAAGGTACTACACCACGGACCTTGCATCTACTGCTGTATAAGTAATGGGTTTTGCAGCCTTAAGCAATTTTGCTGATGGTTTCCATTCACAACAGCATTGTCTTGAGAATCTATTCAGCTTGCATGCAAGTGAACCACAGAGGATATTTCTAATAGATGTTACATCTGCATGTACAGTAAGCTGTCAGCTGCCATTTCTGCAGAGCCTCCCCAGCTCAGAACACCTGTTGAAATCCTGTGAATAATATTAGACAACATTTCATACCATGCATTGTTAAAAATACATCAACAGAAACTTTGGGCCATTCTGTTTGGGAAACATGGGTCCATTTTTCCCTTTTTTCTCCCAGAATGTAAGTTCTTTAGAGCCAGAATTATAGATGTGTTCAGTGCCTCAAAAGCACTTTTGGGTGCTATTGCAATATGAATTATAAATTACACACAAAAACCTGTTAAAAGAACATTATGCTTTCAAAATGGAGCACTTAGAAGTTCTGAAAGCCCAGCTCAGCACTGCTGTGCTCAGCCTCCCCCGAGCTCAGGGCTGTGCACACAATAACTCCCCACTGACGTGCTACTTCTGTGCTCCAGCAAGCTCTCCTACTTGATGCAACCTTCAGCATGAATATTGCTCAGCAAAAGAGTATTTTGTTTTGTTCTTGTTCAGCATGTGACCTCTGTGGCTTATTTACTGCTAACTAATCCTACTCCACTCCAAAGATGGAATTAATCGCTTCCTCCCCGGCTTCACCCTTCTCTTCCCTGCTATGGGACTGAAGGGCTTCGGAAACATTCATGAACACACATGCAAAGCCCTGTGTTGAGCCACCCACACTGCCCAGACCCCAACATGCCTCCCAAGGGTGCCTGGCACAGCCATGCCAGCGCTGGCTCCTCCATTCTGACCCCTTCTCTCCCCCAGCAATCAGCTGCACTGCTGTCTGCCTGTCGAGCACAACGGGGCTCTGCAATCCTCACCCTGCCCCTCAGATTCCCAGCCCTTCTGCTTGTTATTCTGTTCTCTTTTGAAGTCACTGGGGCATTTCCATCTTGTGTGAGCCTAACGATGCCATCAGCTCCAAGCTGGTGAAAGCAAGCTCTTGCCTCAGACACCCAGCAAATAGATACAAACTTCCAGAACTTGCCTTACCCTGATGACCTCCTGCTTTCCCTCGTTGGTTCTTCTCCAGCCTTCCCCAAAGCAGCGCCGTTCTGCTCCTTCCCTCCTCCCCACAGCCTCTTCTCCACCTCCTGCTCCCACCCCAACATTTCCAGTTTCTCCCTCCCCTCCCAGTGCCCCACGTCAAAGTGGCACCGCTCCCCGCACCCAGCAGCACAGCCTGGCTGGTTCATGTTCACCCGGCCGCACAGTCAGACAGCAGCATGCTTGGGACAGACACGGACATCAAAGCCCACAAATTCAAACCAGATCCTGTTGGGTTTGTGTGAACTCAGCTCTTCTCAGACACTTATAGGCTGGCCAAAGTTGGGGTTGGTGGTTTTTCTTTTTTTTTTTTTTCCCTCCTACTTTGCTACTTGAAGCAATGAGAAGATATAACCCTGAGAAAAAGGCAAAGCCTCCCTCACTGAGTGCCAAGCTCCTTCCCTTAAATCTGGGCACAGCAGGCTCCTCACCAAAAGAGCAAGAGCAACTCCTAACATGTGGGAAAATCGGGATTTTTTTTTTTCCTAATCTTGTTCTTAGAAATGGTTGGACAATTTTTCCTGAATTTAACAGTATGCAGCCAGAGACAGGCGCCCAGTATGGAAAATGGATAAAACAGCAATCTTGCACAACTTGGAACCACTGGAAAGTTCACAGAACCTTCTCTTTGTGTGAAAATACCCTGTTTTAGCTGAGAAATAGGCATTCCATAGCAAAATGCTAAAACTCTTGGGCTGCCACTTCCAATCTATGACGTAGAAGAGCCGCGGTGCCCATGACAGTCACACCAGTGGCCTTGGCAAAGACCATTCAAACTCAGCACTTCCTAAAAAAAGCCATTTTTTCTGGATACAGCAACCAAACAATGGCTCCTAACTCCTATGCCACTTGTTTTCAAGCACAGAGTTCCCCCCTTGGTACCATAACAGATCCGAATATGTTTGTTCTCCTTCATGCAGTATGTAAGTTTTGTGCTCTTCACAGGAAGCCAGCAGGTCACAATCAGAAGTTGATGTGTGCTTCCCACTTGCAAACAACTAAAAGCCTAACACAGTATATCCAGTACACATTATTCTCATTGTTTCTTGACAAGATAACAAGTAACAAGAACTGAGTGCTCTTCTACTCACAGTTAAAGGTTAATTTGATCAAGGAGCAGTGGTGTGAATGGGGAAATGAGATACAAGCAAGAAGTATCACCTTTCCCTTAAAATTCCATGAGCCAAACTGTTCTTTCTTTTTACATGCTAAATCCAGGGCTATACATGGAAAAATCCTTCTATGGGGCAGGGATGTCCATTATCACAAGTAAATCTGCTGAAATTAACGAGCCTGGTTATGGCAGCAACCATCACACTGGGTGTAAGCACTTCCAGTTCACGCTGTCCTACTTTCAAGCTGCCACCAGAGCCGTGTTTCCGGCAGTGCAGGATCACACAAAGCACATTGCTTCAAGGTGATTTCAATTCTGCCTAACTTTTGTGATAAACAAATTTATTTCGAGACCTTTAAGCCACCCCACCAGCTTTCACAAAACAACAGTAAGGTTATCAGAAAATCGGTGACATGAAAGACTCTCCAGGACTCAGGCACCTTTCTTTTTTTTTCCAGCAGAGGAGAATTACATGAAAAAGAAAAAATACCCAACAAACAGAAGAGTTGGGTTGTCTTCGTTCTTGTCTCCAGGCTATTGTGCTTTTCTTTCCACCTTGAAAGGCTGCCAGATAAATGTATTCCCAACTGAAAGCCAAGCATTTACAGGAAACTCCTGTGTTTGTATGAAAATAATATTAACCGTATTTTGCCTTTATAAAGCCCTCTTCCACGCAAGGATCTCCATGCACTTTATAAAGTAAATGTTATTGTTCCCATTTTACAGACAGTGAAATTAAATCACAGTGTTAAGTGCATGACCTCATCGGCTATAAAATGGCTTCGCTTCCCAAGGCCAGGGGAGCCATGGCACAGCATGGCAGCACGGGCTCCAGCTCACAGCAAAGGCAGTCAAACAAAAAGCTCTCATGCTCTGGCAGGACGTGTGCAGATGAAGGAAGCGTGTCAAGACAAACAGTCATCTTCATGGAAACCCAACAAGGAGGGCTGGCTTGTCACTGGGTTTGCTACCACTGGTGGTTCAGAGCAGCCCTCCCCTGCACAGCACTTACACCTATATCCTGTTGCATTTGTGTTGCTAAGTGCAAGAGGAGAAATTATTCCATCTGCTGCTTGAAAACATACATATTTTATAGCAATCTCACTTAGTGGGAATATCTTTTCAAACCATTTTCCAATGTGATGTGCTAGAGATAGGAAGGTACCGTAACCAATGACATAGAAAGAAAAGTACCTGAGCTTTCCTGCTATGATGACCAAGTGAGGCTTTGTTCATACTTCAACAGCACACACTGCTTTATTTATTTCGGTGGTAGTTTGATACAAAAAATGTTAAAACTTATTAGCCCTTGCTTTATAGATCTGAAAATCTAACACTGCACTTCTTTGGGATACACAATACTGATCTAGTCCAGATTCTTTCATAAGTGGCTATGTATTTGAGAAGGAGCTGTTGTTTTATTGATAACAGAAGTTTCTATATTTTATTTTCTTTCCCTCGGAAAAATAAGCCGAAGAAATCTGGGAATACATTCAGCACTGCAAAGATGGGAAGAAAACCAATGGAAACGCTTTGCTTTTTCCAAAGGGATAACATGGCATAGACACAGAAGAAAAAAACAGATTTAATTATTTTTCTATAGCTTTTGCAATACAGTCTGCAGGAAAAAAAAATCCTATGTACTCTTTCTATTATTACTCTCAAAGTCTATGGATACCTTTATCGGAGACCTTTCAAGTCTATTTCCTCCTAAAGATTAAAATATAATCATCTAGTCCCAACCAACCCTAGCCGAAGTCCTTCTCTTTATCTTTCAGAAGTGAAAAAGCACTTCCTTTCTTTTCTTAACAATGAGAAGGGAGTGTACAAAGTCAGCAGATGTGGACACATCGATGCCACGAAACAACAAACCCAGACTCAATACTAAAAGCTTACATCGAGCCTTCTCCTCCCTCTTCTTCTTAAATGAAACACTCCAACGTGTTTCTGTTTTTGCAACACACAAGGGATGGTTTTGAACAGAAGCCTCAGTGCTTCCCATGCACAACTGGATCAGAAGGATAACTCATTTGAATAAATTTGTCATCCCAAATATTTGTGACTTACTGCCATAAACACTTATGAGAAAGGTGTAAACTTGAAAAGGTACAGAACAGGACTAACCATAAATATTTATATAAAATATACATTCATGTAACTGTAACTGTTGTGCAAACAGAAAAGTACACTGGAGCTTCATTAACTTCACTGATTGGAAACGGTAATATTCTGGGAATCAAACAATAAAAAATTCAAAGATGCTATATCCCAAACTATGATAAATCATTTATTTTGACAAGTAAGGGTAGTTTTGCTTTAATTATTTATTATTATACTTCGTAGCATATCAGAAAATATGCAGTGATTTATTGTGCAAAATGAAATCTTAATAAAACGAGTCCCTTCCTCAAACTACAGCATTATTAAATCTTCATGGAAATGTGAGGGTGAACTCTCAGGTTATTTTCACCATCGAGCTGGCTGGTTTGTAATGTGAAAATAAGCAATGCCTATTGCATTTCGTTATATTCTGACTTCAAATCTCTTATGGGCCCAAGTTGTACAACCTCAGGGACTGTGAGAGAAAGAGAGCTCATGCACACCCAGCTGCTGCTGCCCACAGCTCTGCTGCTGCTGTGCAGATGGTGCAGCAGCGTCCTACTGCTCAACACAAGGGAGCTGCTGGATGCAAACCTTCAGCCCCTACACCCCTTCTACACCTCCCTGTTACGGAGCTATGTGATCACTGCTCTTAAGGGAGATACAGTAGAATCAGCCATTTTTATGCATTAATCTTGTCCTTTTTGTATTGATTTACATCTCTCAAGAGGTTCAGACCATCAGTGACACCCACACTCCTGCCAGGACCCGTCTGTCCAAAACAGGGCAAGTTGCAATACTTCAGTTACCCTCTCTGAGCTTTGCCAGCCTGAGTGAGACTATCTCAGCTGCAAAACATCACTCAAGATCTTGGATGACCCACACTGAGTGCCTGGATTAGCAGCTGATGGAGGGCTGTCATCTGAGCAGCTGCGCTGCCACCGCATCGCTACCTGCAGCATCAGGGCAGCCACCCCGTGCTCCTCAGCCCCAGCAGGCAGCTTGCTCCTTCAGGCCAGGGATTTAGAGTTGTTCCTCTTTGATTAGAGGTACAGCTGGAGACAAAGCTCCATTTATGCCTGGAGTTAATGAAGAGAAACTGAATTTTGTGGTCACTCGGTCACTACCTCTTTTTCTTTCTAAGCAGAATATTGCAAAGTATTTAAAGATAATTATGTCTATGATCTAGTAATTTCTTCTGGGGAGGAGAGTGCTGTGATAACACACAAACAAGCCAATAAAACTCCTGCATGGAACAATTTAAGAATCCAGATGAAGAAAAAACAGTGGGAGAAGAGAGGTGATAGAGTCTAAAGATGGAGGGGAGTGGTTCATGCAGCAGCCATGCTCTATCCAACAGAACAAGAGGGTGGGAATTACATCCACTCTGATCCCTTGGCTCCATCACACAGAACACAGAAACCTGAAGAAGTACCTGACATTTAAAAATTTACAGCAAAAATATTTCTCATTTTTGACACAAGCATTTTGCAGTTCTGTAAATTTCTCCCCTGAATCCCAGCTCAGTTTGGGTCAGTGTTAATTCCAGAACAGCAAAACACTGCATCAAAATCAGCATGGCAATCTATTTAGCCTCAAAGTAGGAGTCATGCTGAGCATTACTCTTTCAAGGTAGCCATAATAATGGGGAATAAGTACTTACTGAAACATTAAAAGGAAATGTTAATTTAACTATTAAATAGATAATTATGTTAAGTACTTGTTTCTGCAATTGTAACACTTCAGCCTGATGCAAACTCACTTTTTGGTCCGTGCACTTGATTTAATTTCTTCCAGCTTTTTTCCAACTGTAAAGCGAGGTTGCTACAAAGATTACTCATTTGTAATGTTATCATTTGTAGAAGTGTTTTACAAAGATAAAGCACTGCACAGTTACTACAGGGATGGTCTGGTAGTCAACACTTCCCCTTCCCTCCATGCCCTGAGGTCACAATCTCCTCCTGTCCCCCTTTGTCCCGTGCTTTGCTGAGCTGCACCAACTCCCAAACTCACAGAAACAAAACAAACTTGGTCCCCTCACCCCAAATTCATGCTCTTCTGCACCAAGTGAGCTCAGTGTTTTTGATGAAACATTTCCAACTGCAAAGGGTGATTCTGGGGGGGAAAGGACCATGGCTGCCTCGACTAGAAAAATGAGGTGGGGGGGAAAAAGAGGAAAGAAGAGACAGAATCACCTCTGCTGGCATTACAGCACCTCACAGAACTGCACACTCATGTTTATGTACAGACTCAGAGTTTGCTTAATTATAACCACAATAAGGATCATGCACATAAGAGGTTATAAATTGTGACTTATAAAAAAAAATCCAAGTAACTTTAGAAAAAAAACACTGCAAGTTTGTTGCAGTAAGATAGGAAAATACTGCCAGCATTTTTATGTAAATGGGTATCTTCCATTTTAGTGTGGCAAGAAGGAAATAAGAGATACCTGTTCCTTAATTACAACAACTTTTCTACTTGAAGAAAAAAACCTACTGGGTAAATAACTGCTACAACTTTGAAAGACATACTGCCTTTGCAAGAATTACAAAATAATTCTACCAAAACATCTTTTACAACCTACATAATTTCTAGAAAGTCTAAGGATTTTCAAATAATTACTAGCACTTTCATAAATATTTAATGCTGTCTACAAAAGTTCTTTGACTGAACTAAAAACCCACTGTGCAAAACCCAATTTTCCTTCACTGACTATATAATCAAACCAACAACTTACAAATCTGCCTTCTACTTTATTAACATCTTTCCAATGTATATAGAACTAAAATAAAAAACAATGCGCTTGCTGTGATTATCCAGTCCCATATAACAAGACATCATGCAGACTGTGGTTTGGAATAAAAGGACTGAGGCTGAGATTCCTGACTGGTTTATTTATCTGAAAGGGGACAACCCTCCTCCTAACCCACGACTGTGCATCCCCCCTTCTGTGCAACTGAATGCAAGCTGCTCTTGCGTACATTCAAATTGCATTATAAAACCATGACCTGAGCAACTTATGATCTGCAATCTCTGATCTTACCTGACAGATGGATTAATGAAGCTCACTGACAAAGAAATGCCTGGCTGACGTTTCTCTCTATGAAACCATTACCTGTTTCATATACCACCTGGGAATCTGCATGTCCATATGCATCTTCCTCATCACCTTACACAGTCACTCCGTGTATGGAATTGAGAGTATTCCCAAAGACCTAAATTCTTCTCTAAATTTAAGTACTTTCTTACTGTGCAGTTATGACTGTTAATTGCATATAAAAGAACTGTCATGAAATTCTAAAGAGGAAGGAAAAAAAAAAATCAAAGTCATACTTAGAATGTGAGAAACTAATTTTAAATCCTACCTGATTTGCTCTTTCAAGGTCTGTCATGATCATCTCGATTTCATCAGCCCTGGGAGAACAAGAGAGCAGAGGTTCTGTTATCACATGAAGAATACCTGCAATATGAGTTCATGCATTGTACAACTGTGACATTCATACAAACAATACCAATTTTAATTTTTTTTTAAGGGCGCAGTAAAGATTGAGCAGCTAAGCTTTTGGCTGGTGAAATCCTGCTGCATTTTAGCTCTGTGGATTGGTTTGTAAATCTCCAAATCTTTTGTCTTTTCCAGTTTTCCAACGAAGTGCCATACAGATATCTGAGCATATTTATTAGATCTTATTCCCAAAGCTTCTGCAGGATAGCCGTGTCACCTCTCTTAGATGTAAGAGTGCTTCAAAACTGATTATTATGAAGAAGCCAAAGATTCTTCAGTCAACTACCTGCATATGTGGAGACCCCACGTGCACTGTGTTATTCTTCTGTTTGGCTCTTCTGCCAGAAAAAGTCAAAATAGAGTCAGAAATTTCAAGTATGGAGAAGAGAGTTTTTTGGGAGAAATTAAGAAACTAAATTCAGAGTTGGGCTCTTAATGCACTTTACAAATTTGGATGGGAAACTCAAAGGGTTGAAAGCTATACAGTTAAGGAAAAATGGATCCATTGTGTACATGTGTGTTAAGTGCCAGCTACCATTCCTGACCCCTTAAAAACTCCAGCATTTCTAAGATCGGCTCACACAAATGGATATAATAATTAGGCAATAAATTCTATCACCACACTAAATCACGGGCAAATTCTTCCATCATACAATCAACTGTGAAAGTACCAGCAAAAGGCCTGCACTGCTAAAAGAATGCTCTGCATCAACATATGAAGACACAGTACTTCTCCTAGACTCTTTGCCTGTCTCATCTCTGGGCCATATGGATGCATAAACACTATCCTCTTCTCCTATGAGCACTAGCTTTAACCAGCAAGTCCTTTTGCAATCTGCCAACACCACAATGTCTGTTTTTTGTTTTTAATCTGTAGCAGATCATTATCAGTAAAAGCTGTGAAATACTGGAATTCCCTTCTTCTGCTGATGCGAAGAAAGTTGGGATTTGGTTTTTTTTTTTTTTTTTTTAAATTATCTCAATGAAAATCCATTTTTCTTTACAGGTATTTTCTGGGAAAAATGCTTACTGAAGTACACAGCAGTACCAGCTCGACTGACACTGAATACTGACTTACTCTTCAAGAAAATTTGGGAAATGCAGTAGAAGATTACAATAGGTAATAAATATAAAAAAAAAACAAATAGAAAGGTATTTTTTCATCACAGTCTTAAGGCTGGGGCAACATGAACAGTCTTTTGAAAAACCTTTTGGACCATAATGGAAAATAGATTAATGCGTATTTTCTCATGCAGAAGAAGCTAGTGTATCCTTACACTGGAAAGAAATCATGCACAAGATGTTCTGACTTAATAGATATTATTTAATGAATCGAACAACCGCTTTCTGGGCAAATAAGGATTCAGAGCATCCAGGGTCTAACCAGGAGACCGACCCAGACATGTTCAGGTAAACCTACAATAACATCTTTCATCTCTCTAACCTAGCTGTGAAGCAGTATTTTTTGTTTAGGCTCCAAGCCTGAGGAACTCCTCCATCCTGTTAACCCACATATGGAAATCACATCTCAGATGTCTGCACAGACATGCAAGTGACCCCAGCACGCATTCACAACAGGGAAGAGAGTATCCAAATGCATTGCAAAAAGTTTCCCAGCATTTTACAAATATTTTTAGCTGGGATAGTTTAAGGATCCTCTCTATATAAGCTTATGTATTCAGGTTGAATTTATGTGTGAATGCCTCAGGTTATATGGAGCCAGTAAATGATGTCTGGATTGTGTCACACGCCTCCCGGAGCAGCGCCTGAGCATCCCACTGCAACACGGGGCTGCAGCTCCAGAGGACGCAGTTTCTGCTCACTTCTTTCTGGGCCTAAAGAGCCATAAAACCCCACCTTTCCCCCTAGATAAGGGAACGCTGGTATCAAGTATCAGCCAAAGGTCTGAAAGGCTCAAGAGCCTAAGAGCAGAGCACAAAAAACCCAGGCCAGGAGAAGAAAAGTGCCCTGCTTTTGCAGAGGGAGGGCCATTCTTCAGTCCAGCCAAGGGAGAGGGTTGGCTGCAGAGAAAAGAAAAAGGCTCTGATGCAGAAAAGAAGTGTGTGAGGGCATCTGGGCCCACCACAGGACCCTCAGCCACCTGTAGAGCTCACAGCAGCGAGTGCAGGAAGCCAAGGGTTGTGAAAGCCAAGAACATTCTGGATTGATACACATTCTAGCAACACGAAGAAATCCTAATGCGTACAGCTGCAAATGAGAACGAGGAGCCCTCAGAACGAGGAAAACTGAGCCCTGGATCCTGGAGAAGCAGAGGCGAAGTGCTGCCTTAAGGTGTGCCTTTACAGCAGACACAAGTAGCAGTGCTACTTTGCTTTGCTGTTTCAGCTGGGGTCAGGATTTAAGAGCTCTATTACAGCATCGGTATATGTAGTCAATTACAGAAAAAAGCAACTGAGGATACAGCATGCCATAAAAATGACATTTCTGCCCTTCAGCATGCACGGATAATTCTGACCGAATCTGGTGCAGTGTCAAACTGTAGCCGAGGGCAAAAGTGTCCCTCTGTCCTTGCAGCCACACACAGGGCTGGTCCCAAAGCCCTTTCACCCTCACATCTACCCTACCCAGCCTTCCCTACACACCTCTACAAGGATTATATTCCATCCTCAGAAATTCCCAGCTGAGAATCTCCATCCTAGCAGCCTGCACACCTACCAAGGTTAATGCTGCAACCGTAAATGTTATCTTCAAGCAAAGTAATGAATTAAATTACTCTGTATTCTTTACATGCACAAGTGTCAACAGCATTCAGAAGAGCCTTCAAAAGGAATTCACTCTTTTCATTTTAAAAGCTCAACTCCCACATTGGTAGCTGGCACTCAGCAGTCTAAAATCACTTATTTGAGAAGTCTCTAACAGCTACATTCGCTGTTTGCTCAGCAATAGTATTTATTATAAAATAAATTACAGTTCTCACCCCTTTTATGCACTCACAGAAACAACTTCCATTGATTTATTGTTTACAAAGCACCGTGCTGAACTCAAACCTGCGAGGCACAAGGAAATCCCACTCTGGCTCACTGAATTGGGCCCACAAAGGTCAGTTTTGATGTATTCACCATCCACTAGATTTGCTCACTTTCAGACCTTCTGATTTCAGTGGAATTTTTTGACAGCTAAAAGACCATGAATCAGTGCTGATGGCATCCTGTCCTGCAAGTTTTCACTGCAAATCTGATGGGAACCTTGCAGAGAACAGTGGCTGGGTTTAACAAACCTGATCCTGCATTTCTGACCAAAGCCATTCCAAGAGAACTAAACTCACTTTGAAGAGTCACAAATCGGATGGTTTTACTTTTAACCTGATTAACCTCCTGAAGCAAAGGTGACTTGGCCTCTTGTAAGGGCCTACACACAGCCCACCACCCCAAGAGCTACAGGCAAGAAGAACAACAGAAAACAAAGTTCCTTTTTTGTGTGAATGCAGAGAATGAGGGTCATTAGTAGCAAGAGAACCTATTAGTGAAATAAACTGGTATTTATGGTCTTTTAGAGCAGATTTCCACATCACAGTGGTCAGGATAAATGCCAGCTTTATCCAGGGTTTGTCAAGGTTGATACTTTCTTAACATTGAAACAGATAATAGAGTGGGTAAAAGCTGTTTTCAGGAATGCGTATTATCTGTCCTGAGTTTTCTCATTCCAAGATAGTATAGTCTTTAATTTAATTAATTAATTTGATTGAATTCTTTATAATCTCTTTGTTACAGCAAAAATAATTGTGTGTACTCAGTCTGTTTTATAGTTTATTCTATTTTTGGCACTTTTAGCCTAAAGAATTTAGCAAATCAAATTTTCAGTTCAAGCATTTGGAGCTATGGAACAAACAGAAGAAACAAAAAGAATCCCAACTATTGAAATGGCACAACCACAAACAATACCTACTATTTCCTCTCTTGCAGCTGTGTTTCAAGTGAAAAGCAGAATGCATTAAAAGCTATCGATTTCACAAGGTATAAACTTTTACCAGTTATGAAAGAGCCCTCAAAACTAACACGTCATCTAAAAAAAAACACCAAAAAACAAAACCACCCAACCCCCCCAGAAAAAAACACAACTTAAGGAGTTTAAAAAACAACAACACTCAATTCTGATGGGAAGTAAAAAATGCAGAACGGTTCAATTTTCTTTCTAAGCTCAAGCTAACTGATTAGGTTTGAACAGCATAACAAGCAAGCAAATTCAAGTGCTGGTAAGATGGATGCAGCTCAGTTTTTTCCTCTAAATAAATCAGATGAAAACCCTAAACACCATGAAGCTATTCACTTGCAAGCAAGAAGAATGCAGACTTTATGATTAAAATCCAGTTGATCCGACTCCTTCATTTAGATACTAGCTTAAAGAGGCAGAAACAATTCCTTTTTTATTAACATGACAAGTGAGTGCTTTGCCAAACCTTGTGGCTGCAGCCCCCGAACATTCGAACCTACTGAACCTTGAAGGAAACTGCTGTTGGATTCTTTATAGATGGAAGAACTGAAAAACACAAATGACACTTTTGAAATTGCAGTCAATGGCGTGGCCAAGAAACTTCACTAGAGGGGCAGATTCATGTTTTGGTTTGGCAAAAAACAAACAACATCTTTTCCCACAGATTTGTTTTCTTAAAAAACGTGGAAGTTTCCTGGTCAGAGCAAACGGTACACGGAGCCAGAGGGCTTCTTACAGCCTTCTAAGTACTGTAACGTTTATGCAGTCCATTTCAAACTAAAAGCAGACATTTCCAACTAATATGCATTAATGTTTAATAAAAAAGAAAGAAAAATCCTACACCTGATAGGTACCTGTGATCACCACGCAGCAGAATCCAGCAGAATTACACAGCATTTGGCAGAAACATCTTACCCTCTTCAAATCAGAGGCACTGTACCCCAGCACTGTGCTAATGCAA